AAAATGATTTGTGCAAAGTTTTATTACAATTTACCATCAATTAAAATTTAGATAACTGGACAACTAATTTCTACATCGCAATGTAACTTTATATAAGTTATTTTGAATATTAAAGTACTTATATAAAAAAATTGAGAATTTTGTCATTATTTTTAACGTATTTTTATACGTATTTTTATTAAAGCATAAATTGAGAAAATATTACTTAATAAATATCTAATTACTTTAATAAAAAATATTTTTTATTAAAATAACTTTTAATCCAGATGATAAACCATCATTAAAAAAAAAATTTATTGTACTATTTTTAAATTAGGTCTAGAAAACGTAATTGTAAGTCTAGTAAAAGTAATAGTGAAAAATCTAGTAAAAGTAACGTGAAAAATCGCGCTGAAAACTGACAACTGTTTTGAAGAACTTATAAAAAAGAATATTTCGTATCTCGTAACATTTAACGGGAAAAATTTGTTCATGTTTCCATGTCGTGTTCGCAAAATAGCCTCATAAAGTCATCTCATTTCGTCGAAAGCTTGTATTTTAAAGAAATAACGTCGACCACAATTTTAACAAATTTATGATGGTGACTGACATGAAAAATGCAAATGCGCTTTCCTGAAATGCTTCTACTGAATCGCAGATAAAACGATTCCTCCAAAATAAAGCGATTCACAAGAGAGGTACAAGCACACACACTACAAAATGTTCTTCGAAAAATGCACTTGCATTCCATACGTTCGAGATGACTATCTTCCTGCCAGGAAACTCTTTCTTCTCATTTGTTTGTTCTCTTTTTAAAAGAGTTATAAGTGGCCATTACACAATCTCCTGTGTAATATATATTTACTTTCCTGAAATTTCATTATAAATTTTGTAATATTACGTTTATTATCCATTGTATCATCTTCAAAGATTATAAGATTGCAGGCATAAAGAAAACGTACAGAGAAAAAGTAAAGAGTATAAAGTAAATAAAAAATCTATATAATAGTTCCCGTTACGTTTTATCGTGCCATTCTTCCGTCAGGCGACTTTCTGCACGTCATTAAACGCGCGAAATAAGCTATCCGGATATAAAAATACCATCTTCTCCTCTTCTTCTCTGCCAGAGCTTGATGCACGTGCTGAAGTACCGTGGCAAAGTCACGGAACCGGAAGCACGTTATTACATGAAGCAAATGGTGACCGGCGTCGCGTACATCCACTCGCAGAAAGTCGTGCACCGGGATCTGAAGCCCGGCAATATGTTCCTATCGGACCGGATGATCGTCAAGATCGGCGACTTCGGACTAGCGACCAGGCCTGACGGTCAGCGTAGACGAGTGTAAGGCTCAATTTAATTTGCAATTCAAGAAATACATGTTCTTTCTTTGCATGAAGAATTTTATTTGTTATTAATTACGATATTTCAGGTAATAAATTTTCACAATAAATTATTCGCAATTTAACATTCTTTAACATCAAATTATATTAATATTCTTATAATTATAACATGCTTATTAGCATTAATATTATTAAATTTAATATATGATGTTATTACTCTAATTCTATTCATGATTGCGTTTCAAGACGGAAAAAGATTTTGGCGGTTTGCAGAATTGAATATGTATATAAATTCATCAAAATATTTGAGCATTAAGATTTGCTTCGAGCGAAAACAGTTTTCTTATCGATATTCTTATCGGTCCATTTTTATATTATAATTGTTTGTCACTTAATTTATTTTTGATAACACAAAGTTGTAGTTTGTGTTATCACACATATACTATGTCCTATAATATATTATATTAATTTATTTTGTTATTTAACTTATAATTATATTACAAAGTAATATTTTCAAACAATATTTTATAAAAATTGAAAGCAAAAAGCACATGATATTGATGAATCTAACTGAAAATAATTGGACATCTCACAAACCCTTTTTTGTTATAATTATTTTTATATCGATGTTTTAACGACTCTCCTCGACAAAAACATAACAAATACCGGAGATCCCTTTTCCGGAACTCTAAGACGATTGTTACGCCTGGACGTGCTTGTCTAAACACAAGCAACTAGCGGCATCAACAAAATGTCGTAGCATGTAGCCAATTTGTATCCACAGGACGATATGCGGCACGCCAAACTACATCGCTCCGGAAGTGCTGTACAAGCAAGCGTACAGTTACGAAGCGGATGTTTGGGCGCTGGGCTGCATATTGTATGCCCTGTTGGTAGGGCAACCACCCTTCGATACAGCCACACTTAAGGAGACTTACGCCAGGATCTGCAACAACCATTACCGTGAGGTCGACGACAGTATCGCGAGCAGAAATGGCCAAGACTTGATCAGATGGTTGCTACAATCTAATCCCGAATTACGACCGAGTCTAGAGAGGGTGAAGGAACACGTCTATTTAACCAAGGAATACGTGCCAGCATCTTTACCTCACACTTGCTGCTACCAAATGCCACCGGCATCAATCATCGAGCCACCCTCGTCACCATCCTCGGTATCTACGGTCGCTAGAAATTCGGAAATTAAAGCACAGGTGACTAACTTGATAATCCAATTTGAAAAATTTTTGACGATATAACTGACGGATCTTTACGAAATCCGTCATTATTAATCTTTTGATGATGCCTATGAGCATTGATATTATTACTCTAGTAATTCTGTTAGGATTGTGCGTTTCAAGACTGAAAATTAGATTCAGCAATTTGCAGGATTGAACAACATGTAGTATATAAATTCACACCAAATTATTTAAGCATAATAGATCCAGCTTGATCTTTTAGAGCATTTGTTTTTTATTTGTATTCATATTACAGTCTAAAAAAAAAGATAAAAAAAATACTTTATTTAAAAAAGAAATTTTTGTTTAATATTATTTAAAATCCATAAAAAATTCATAAAATTTCAGATATGGCAACAGAGTCTCGTTTATCCTGACGCGTCATTGCGTTATCAACAGACGATTCCGACTCAGCAGGCGCAACAGCAGTCGCAGCACCAGCAACATCTATTGAATCGCTCGCAGAAGAGTCTGCAAAAGGAGTCCAAGGTCTCTAACTGGCTCGTCAGGAAGTTACCCAAACTACCGCGATTCCGGCAACGGCTCAGCAGCGTGCTATGTCCAGATCACAAGAAAACCGGCCTTGTGGCGCAAAGCGTACAGATGCATCGCGCACTAGAAGCGTGCGTGCCGGAAATGAAGCGGAATAACGCGTGCAATCCACCAACTGTAGAGGACATCGTGCCCCTCTTCGTCACCAAATGGATCGATTATTCGAACAAGTACGGGCTGGGCTTTCAACTCTCCGATAGGTCGGTTGGTGTTCTTTTCAACGACAACACGAAGATCAGTTACACTCATGATAGAAGGTGAATATCAAGAGAAATTAATAAGAAATAATGCGTTATTTTTTATAATGTAATTTTTTCATAAGATTGTAATTTCTTACTAATTATTAGGTGTGGGAAAAAGTTCGTGGCGTTTTTTTAATGCCATCTAACGGGAAAAACGCCACGAACTTTTTCCCATAATTCCCTAATAATTAATTTGATTAAATTTGTAATACAGAAGAGTGGAATATATGACCACCGACGACGAGATGACGCGATATCATCGAGAGAGAGATGTGTCGGCACCACTGCAAAAGAAGCTCGAATTACTTCGTCACTTTACCGAATATATGGATGACTTTTTGACAGAAGGTGAGTGAGATCACACACTGTGTGTCTTATTTTTATACGGTGTATGTTATAATTTATTACGCAAGCAAATTTTCCATTTTTTTAAACGGAAGAAATGCAACTCGTCTTCACGAAGCTTGTATATACTTTTGTTTTCCAAGCGAAACATAACATGAGAATGTGACCTATTTGTACCACTCAGTAAGCAAATAACATTTTGAAATGTTTCAGTAACATTGCGATAAGATTGTAACGTTACTGTAATATTACTGAAATGTTCCAAATATTTCTTGCTTACTGCCCTATTATGGCGACCTTTATTAAAATTAATAAGCAAAAACGTTATAATGTAATTTCGCGTTAATGTGTGCCATTTAGGTGGTGAGCTAAAAAAATATCGCGCGCCGCCGAGGCAGTCGAAAAACGCTTGCGTGCCACGAATGAGACGATGGCTACGTACGGACAAGGCCATCGTGATGGAGCTAACGGTACCACTCCTGCAAGTGAACTTCTTCGTGGACCACACGAAGATGGTAGTGTCGCAGGAATCCGCGGGAGGAAGGGGCTATCTGATCACTTACATCGACACCGGCCGACACGCATCCTCCTATTGGCTGAACGACCTCCGTGACCTCGGTTGCACCCCAGACCTCTATGAACGTCTGTACTATGTCTGTAAGGTGACGCGCGAGTTCGCCGAGTTGGACAATAATACGACCGCCTGATGCTCGCCGGCGGATTCTCGAGGGACACGTGCTGTGGTTTCCTCAAGAACCGCTCAGACAACCGAATTGGCAACGAGATCTCTCAGATACTTGTTTTAGATCTTACCCAAGCAACTTTTTCTTTTCCATAAAATGACATTTAAATGCCAGTGATAAAGATCTTCAGCTACAAAAAGATAATTATTAATTACTATGGTCAAATTTTTATGAATTTTAATTATCACGGTGAGAGATACAAAAATATCCGTTTTTGTATCCCTTTTTCTTTCTCAGGATAAGGGTTAAGGAAATAACGGCCAAGCAAGTACGTCAAGATACCGTTACGCACAGCATTTCTCGGGGGTGGGAGGAGGCCGTAAATAAGAATGTCACGCGTATAAGTCCACGAGAAGGTGTGTCTTGTGAAAGACCGTGCGATGCGAGTGATTTCGTTGATTTATAAATCTGCACGTTGTTTTCACAAAATCAGAAGTAATCGCCTCTAAGCACGTGACTCATCTTGGCAGGTCTTCTTCTTTGAAGAAATGTTAATTTTCCCACTAGAGAAGACTAGTTAGATCAGTAAGTAATCGGTCAAACTGCCATCGCAATAATGATGTTTTGTGAGTCCAAGTAGGTATAGCTGTATCGTTCCTCTTAAATCAATATTATGTCGTGAAAGCATTACGTGTTTTGTTAGCTTTTTGGAGTAGAGTTTCACTCTAAAAATTAAAAATTGAGCCAATCTTGAAAAAGAACTCAATTTTTAATCTTTAAGAGTGAGATTTACTCTAAAAGTTTTAGAGAGTGAGAGAGCGGAATACACTTAAAATTTTGAAAAATCTATGCACTATTTTTACGCACAGCAGCATTTTTACGCTGATCCCTCATTCTCGTGTGAAAATTATTCGATGGAAATTATCGAGTTTAATGTGATATAAACGCCGTAACCAGTTGTGAAATATGTATCCGGTGACACTTTTCATTATACAAAATGTAAGGCGGTCACAACTAGGAGAGTGTCAACTGCATTGCTACTACCTCCGTTAAACAGGTAGCTGTTAGTATATTTATTTTTCACGGCGCAGATCTCCCTAGTTCAGTGCCTATATATTGAGTAAGTAATTGATATCCAGTAGATTAGTTACTCATTGAGTAAATCGAGTATGTATAGTTTGATTACATATTTGCGATCACGTGGCGTGCAAAGTATAGTATCGTTCGAAGTAAGAATTTTTCCATGTGAAGAAAACTCTTTTTCTGCTGAAAGCACGCTGTTGTCGAAATTCGAGCTCCACTTGGCGATTCGTTAAGACACCGCGTTGCCTAATTAAATTATGTGTGGAAAGTTAAAGATTTTTTTATGTTGAATATTTCAAGAGAATATTAGTTTAATACACAAAAAAATCTATGAATGTTCTTGCGCATATTTTTTTTCTGCTCTCTTGAAATATTTTTTTAACTATTTTCAATTTATTTCAAAAATTATTCTCTCTTATGATATTAAAATATTAGATCGTGGAATGCTGGAAGGGATGAATCTGACATGTGATAAACGCGTGTTTGCAAAAATAAAAATAAAAATTTATCAACATACGTCTAAATAGTAAAAAGATAAATATTAAATTTTGCATGAAGAAAAATAAAAATCTTTTTGATGATTCTTAGTTCCGTACATTTATTTTTGTTATAATGACACATGTTTGTAAATACGTAGAAAAATATGGCTACACATCTTTTTTCACATAATTTATCATCAAGTACTTAAAACCGGCTGGCAACATCTCGCCGCGCATTACTCGGCGCAAGAGCACAGAGAGGATGAGCCCCCCCCCCCCAGTAAATTTTTAGCAAATCCTAGTCAACGCTCCTTTTCCATTTTTTCTAGAATCTAACAAAGGACAAGTGTCACTGCCATCGTTGTTACGCGTTGCCGCTGTATCCAGGCTGTTACGTTTATAGTTATACTATTTATTAGTTGTGTTTACGTGTACGTTTGTTGGAAGTTTGTTGTATGCTATAGCTAGGACTGCGGAGAGACGTGCAAGTTTCACGGATGAGCTTTCTTGGCTAGATGCTACCGCTTCCAGGTGCTACACAATCATGCTACTATTTTTACGGGTGTTGTCACTCAAGGCCGTGGCACACAGCAAACAGTAAAACGTAAACAGTAAAGAAATTAATATGTTGGATTTGCTTATTATAACCTTACAGTCTCTACTGTGATGTTGGCCAATTCGCCTACTGCTTACATTTGACTGTTTAAGTTTTTTGTGCCATAGTCCTTATTCTCTTTTTTTCATTCGTCTTATTAAAAGAATTAGCACACTATAATAGAACCAATTAAGCGAATAATATGCCTGTTTCTAACATAATGTATAGTTTAATTTTTAACTTTGATTTAACTAATTCTTTATTTTTTTCTAATTCTAAAAATTAAAGAAAATGAAGAGTAAGTGGAAAACTGAGATTAATTTACGTTGATATAAATGGGCATAAAACACGACTCACCGTGAAACTCATCGCGAAAGATCAGCCATGTCCTAGATATTACATGTTATATTGATGATGCGCTTCGAGCCATGTGTCTCGAGATTTTTCGATGCATAATCGCGTAACGTATGGGTGTATGTATCACCAACGCATCGTGCCGAAGAAATTTCTCTCTGCGCGACACGATATATTCTATTCTATCGTATGCATTTTCTCGGCGTGCCGCACGCAACGCGTTCCGCCCGAATTGTTCTATTTCCTGTATCGTGTGTACATTAATACCGCTATTATAGTTGTCGCTAGCTACTTAGATTATTATTGTTATTATGATTATATAATTATTATTATTTTATTATGATTATATTCTGATTGATGACGTTATCGCTATTGTTCGCTATCGACAATATTGTCGTCATTGCGATAGCAATCGTAATTATTTTTAGTACAATTATTAAATTACTTAATAATATATAATAGCAATTCGCTACATTATGAGTGAGCGTTCGTTATTCGCATCCAACGCGATGATTGTCGTCATATATAAAACGCGCAGTGATATTATATTATATTTTTTATTACAGTCTTTTATGTATATATAATATT